GCCTGGCTTCTTTACATACATTCCTTTGGAAAGAGGCCCATTTTCCCTTCAGAATGGCTGCAAGGAAACCAAGAATTCGCTTTCTATAACACTTTTTTTTTAAATATTTTTACAACGTTCAACTGTTTATTTCCCTCCAGCCTCTGCAGAGTTAACATCTCACTCTCTTTCCTTAAATCACTTACTTATTTTCCAAAATGACTCCTCCATCAGCCCAGATATCACCCTTCCAAGTATTGTCCCAGGGATCTGAAATCCCCATGTCTGCACTTACTGCTTCCCTTACTCCTGCCACGCTGCCCCTCAGGGCTTCCAACCTGTTTTCCAATCTCTTTATTTGTTGCCTGCCTGCTTGTCTGGGCCCGATCCGGCTTTTCTCGCTAAACTGTCCCTTCCATGGACACAGGCTTTGTTCCACTACCCATTTAGCAAGGAGGGTGGGCTTCTCAACTAGCCCCCACCCCCTCCTGGTCCCTTTCCTTAAACATTTCTCTCAAAATTGTGAAATTACCACAATATCACTCACAAAAATATTACACTGCCCAAACTCCTATATCCTTCAGAGTTGGGTCTCGCATAGAAAATGCCACCTGAACATATATATATATTTTTTACCCTTATAACTTTTCCGTGCCCACGCTTGTGCTGGGACGTACACAACACAAAACGTCTAGACCCACTAAAAACTCTTCCTGACAGAGCAGGAGGGGGGAACCCGAAGCCCTCTACCTTTTGGGCTCAATCCTGCTACGACTGAGGGTATATTCACCTATGCAATTTTTCCCGGACAAACAGGCCTTAGGGCCCGGTACCTCTACGACGGGGGGTGCATATACAGGTCTGTTGCATCTTATGCGCATTTAACATGCGCGATTTCAACTTTACGCGGTCGGCAAAAACAAAAAAAGCAAGAGAAAAACAACAATTTTAATACTATACCTGTAGTGCGGGCGATTTCGCCTGCCATTGAACTCAGTGGGGTTTTGGCTATACGCGGTTTTCGCTTTACGCGCTAACCGCGGAACGGAATCCCCGTGTAAGATGGGCCAGACCTGTACCTAGACAGTTTGTACAAACAGTTTACACATATATCTTATCTGTATAGTTTTCCCTGATGGACGGGTCGGAGCAAAGACGCTAATCCTCCCCCTATTGCCCGGTATCTTTATGACCGGGGGTGTGCACACCTGAATGATTGATCACTTTATACGTATGGTGCAGCATTTAGCAGTATTTTCAATAATCATGCTGCATGTCTTTCCCCTTTCGCAATTCTCCACCAAAAATGTGATGCTTATAAGAAGCAGACAGGATCTTTTTCGGGGGGAAACGCAATACGCCGCATGTATTGGAAATACAATGATTAGCATAGGCATTCAATCACACCACACACACACTATCCCGCCAGTTGATGTTATAGTTACCAGTCCAGAGTCGGGATCAATCTAGTGGCCAGCTAGGTTGATCACGGGTAGGGAGGAGCCGGGTTCCATCGAACCCAGGGAAGTCTTGGCAGGACGAACCCAAAGTTTCATGGCAAGGCCCCCTGTTTATATAGAGATTTTCCTTCATTGGGGCCAATGAGTTTTGCACCGTCATGCTGTAATCAATTGTTGTTTGATGAGTGCTTGTTTTCTTAAATTGTTTTTCTTATTTTTAATTAAGTCTCCCAGGGAGTTACCCCATGCTGGTTTTGATCACAGCTATCTTGCCCCCATTAATAGGTGCCTGTCTTACTTTAGAGTCGTCAATCTGCCCTCTTCCGACATGTCAACAGGAGTGTGTTGTAATTTTCTAGCGCCCTTGCGTCTGTCCTCGGTTCCTCCCTAGAACATCTGGTTCGGTGATGGCCTTCACACTTATCTTCTAACACACACATTCCTTATTCGCACACAAACCAGGATTGATTTACACAGGGCATTTGAACTGGAACATCAAATTGCAACGCAGGAGAAAACACTCATTGCCCATTCTTTTACTTATTTTAAAATGCTAAACCTACAACAAAGTGGTGACCCTAAAGGTCTGTCACTGCCTTAAAATCAGCATAGACACAGATGCTGGCTGATGCATCTCTACCAATGGCCCATTAGGCCATTCCTTTCTGCTATTCAAAAAGGGTGGCTGGCAGAATGTAATCAAATCATACACCAATACATTTAATACATGATGCATTATTATTCTTTATTCTTCATTATATAAAATGCAAACATAAAACCCTACTGCTACATTGGGCTCTCAGCAGACTCAGGCAGCATCGTTGATTTCAATGGAATCTCGATGCCTACAGTGACTTGCCCCAGTCCATAGAGGAAGTCTGTAGTGTATTGCCTGAGTTTCCAAGTCCTAGAGTAGTGCCCAACAACCACTGGGCCATCCTTCCCCTCTAGCTGGTGTTCTCAATCTGTGGCTCTCAAAGCGCTTCACAAAAGTCAGTATCAATACGCCCATATTAGACCAGGGGAAACCGAGTCACCGAAAGGGACTCGGCCAGCAGGCAGGAATAGCTCCTGAAATGAAAATGTCAAAATAAGTCATTTAGACACTTCCCCCCACCCCCGACCCCACACCGAACATTTTGATTTTGACAGAATGGCCATTTCAAACGGCCAAGAGAATCTACCTCAGGGTTTTCTGCCTCCAGCCCCGATCTGGCAGTTGAGCTAGAGCGGAGCTCAGAGGTACAGTAGTTTTCCCAACCTTTGCTAGGGTCTGTCAGGTGATTAAATTCAGGGCCTATTATCTGAATCCAAGACGAGGTGGGGGTGGGGAGGGGGGCTGCAGGACCATGGTGCGCTCCCGTGCGGAAAAGACTGAGACACTCCGGCCTAGAGAATCAGATGGAAATTGGTACTGTCCTAAAGGGCAGCTGGTTTTTAATCCCATTCTAGAGCAGGGCTCCCCCTCTGAATATATTTCAGGCTGTGATTACCCCGCCCCCCAACCGAAGTGACAGCAAATCACTGGACATACTCCCAGGAGCAGTAAATGACACATGTCCGCATTATCCCTGCAATCAATGGCGCTGAATCCCCTACTGGCTTCCCTACGCTGCCCAGGCTGGAGACCAGCTCCCTCACCCAGCCTAGGGCTGCCAACTGGGACTGAAGCTATTCCAGGAGATTTTTTTTTTCCAACATGACACAGTGTCATGTTCTTAAAATATCCTGTTATAATTCCCAGATTGCTTTCAGTGGTCACTGGGAGATGAATGCCAGTTCCAGGAGACTCCAGGCGAATCCTGGAGGGTTGGCAACCCTAACCCAGCCGCATCTGTCTGGGCACCGCTGGCGCACTCCACCCCGGTGCCTACCTGCTCTCTGGACCTGGGCCAGTAGGAGCCTGCATTGGCTTCAGCTCTGTCCTCGTCTCCCTCTGGCCTGCTATAGCCAATGATTGTAGATTATTGTTCACATTTATTGTGTGATCTGATTAACACGTTATGGCCTATATCATCATTGTATGCTCAATACTTCAGTTGTAGGACTATAGAAGTCTACGATTGATCAGTATGTAGAGGGAAGAATCCCGTATTCAGTATCTGAGTCAGTAGGGTTGAAATGCAAGACCTGTAGGCTGAGGCCTGAAAGGTTTTAGCTGAACTAGTTTAGGCCTTGGAGCTAAGAAATGCTGATTGAGTAGGAGTAAGTGAGCGAAGAAAAACCCGATGCCCTAAGATAATGGGGGAAAGAGGGGCCAAGGGGTAATGAGAAAAATGTACTGGAAGATGAATTTTAAATCCTAAAAATGCTGTAAAGGCACGTGTGTTTCCAGCACCTGCCTTAACCACAGGATGCAGGCTGTGCGTCAATGCTAATGAGAACGAAGAGAGCCTACACAACCTATAGAAATCGGGGTCCCTTACGTTTGTAGGGGACCGACAAGGGAAAAGAGGGGTGACACTTTCATGTCCCTGTGCAGAAGTTCGCCATAGGCAGAATCACATAAAACCAGGGTGCCCAGAGTGGGGAAACTGAGCTCGCTATGGGAATCTCCAGCAGGAACCATCCCTCTGCTCAAACCATAAGACCCATCAGACCTAACACTATTGGTGAGGATGTGAGTGTAACTATAGTTGTAACTTGTGCGTAGGTCTGTCTAGAATTGCCATCGGCTTGGAGAATAACTAACTTTAATAAAACCTATAAAACAGACTAGACCTTGTACTTGTGAATGTCTGCGTGGTCTCCACCCTTGGTCTTTGTGTTCCTCGAGATTCTACATCTAGAGCACGTAGCACAGGTGACTTTCACTGTTAAGCTTGAAACGGTAGCCGCTAGATCTGAACCCACGGTGGTGTGATACGTTACATGAAATAAAAGGCTACACTGGCGTGCAAACTGTCCTCCTAGTCCCTACTTCGCGCTTCTTGCTGCTGAGTTGTAATAAAAGTGAAACCTCGTCCTCTCCCAGGTGTGAGGCACTGTCACCCTGACTGCTGCTGACGGCAGCACTGCCTTCGGAGCTGGGCGGCCAGAAAGCTGTACCCACCCCCGCACCGGTTCCCCTTTTCCTCTGACAGTGTCCTTCAAATATGGTACCCCTAGGTCTCACAACCCCCCTCTAATAGCCTTGCCACCCCCTTTTGGGTTGGGACCCCCAGCTTGAGAATTCCTGTTCTAGAGAATAAATGGACATTGCATCCCCGCTATAGAATGGGAATGGCAGAGAAAGGTTCCTACATGCCATTTATTTCTACAGGGTGGATTTACTAAAAATCATTTCTGTCAAACTCTTTGCATCATCTCTGACCCTTGTGGTTTGAACCAGGCAATCTGTGACCGGCAAAACCTGGGGCTGTGTAATCAGGCCACAAACGCTGTAGGTTTCCCCTGCCCCAAGACTTTCAGGAAAAAATTACCCAGCCCCAAATCAGACTGAAAAGTTCAAACTCTCTAATATTTACATGAGAAAAACTTTTTTTTTCAGTTCCAATCCCTCAAGCATCAGGGGGTAGCCGTGTTAGTCTGTATCTACAAAAACAACAAGAAGTCTGGTGGCACCTTAAAGACTAAGATTTATTTGGGCATAAGCTTTCGTGAGTAAAAACCTCACTTCTTCCCTCAAGCAGTTTCCTTTCAATCGTTTTGAAATATCTCATTTCAAGTTTGGACCTTTGCCCCCTTAATGTGTGAATTTGCTCAAATTTCTAACCAAAAAGTTGTTTCAACTGGGAAAAAAATGAAGCTTTGCAGTTCAACAACGTCCAACCCTGTTACAAAAAACTGGGAGTCAGGTGTTTCTAAATGTTTGTTTCTACATTTTTTGGTAGAAAAACCCCTATTTTGTTCGAAATATCTCAAGCAGCCCTGTCTAAGTTTAAACTTGCGAGCCAGGTTTTTAGTTTTTAAGGGCCTGGCTGGCTTTTGTTATGTGATTGCCAAAGATTAGAAAGGCTGTTTACCGCGTGATTTCTTCTTCAGAAAACAGTTTTAATATCAGCTCTTTCACATGTCCTTGTAATCTCCTGGTACAGAAGAGAACCATGAGCCATTTCTTCATACTGAGCACTTATAAACAGCTCTCAAAGCAGTTTACAAAATATAAGCTGCATTATCTCAATTCTAGGGGGGGTGGGAGGGAGCAACTGAGTCACAGCAAGGTAAAAGTGACTTACCTAGTCACACAGTGACATGGAAATAGAACCCAGGAGTCCTGGCTCCCAGCCCCCTCTGCTCTAACCGCGAGACCCCACTCCCCTCCCAGAGCCAGGGAGAGAACGCAGAAGTCCTGGCTCCCATCTCCCCCGTTGTATCCCATTGGATCCCACTCCCCCCCGGCCCCCGAGTGGGGCTGTGGACAGGAGCATGGGCTGGTCTCAGTGGCACGCCCCACACCATTTCAGAAGTCCAGGTCCTGTGGGCCCCTCAGCTCCCGTCTGCCCCACGGCTCCTCGTCTGTCCCCAGCTCCCCCCGAGGCTCCTGCTCCTCCGGCGGCTCCCCCTCGGCCGGAGCCCCCAGACGCCTGCGCTCCTCCTGGGTGAGGGGCTCCCCATCCCGCAGCTTGTCCCGCAGGCGCCGGTGCTTGCCGATGCCCAGCTTGGGCAGGCCACGGTCGAGCCCCTCCAGCAGGACGCAGGCCTTGCACAGGGGCTGGCTGGCCACGTAGCCGCAGCGCTGGCAGGTGCCGCGGGCCGGCATGCGGAGGTCGGAGCGCAGCGAGAGCCGCTCGCCCGAGTGGCCCAGGTCAGCCACGGCACTGGGCCGGACGGCCTCCAGCTCCTTGAGCAGGGCGCGGGCATAGCCGCGGTAGGCCTGGGGGGCGTAGACGCACTCGGTGCTGAAGTAGTCCAGGCCCTGGAAGTAGGCGTAGAGGACGATCTCCTTCTCGTAGGCGTGGCGCAGGGGCTTGCAGCGGGGCACGGCCCCCTCCCCGCCCGCTGGCCCTGTTCCCACCCCCCGGCGCAGCCGACCCACGTCGCCCCGCAGGAAGTTCATCAGCACCGTCTCAGCCACGTCGTCTGCGTTGTGCCCTGCGGGGAAGAGCGGAGGAGTCAGGCCGGAGAGGGCCCCGGGTCGGACCCTGCGGTGACCCCTCCCCACAATACAGAGCCCCCCAAAGCAGACCCCATAGCACCCCCTTCTCCAGCACAGCCCCCTCCCCGCAATTCAGCTCCCCCTGCCTCCATCCCACAGGACCCCCCTACGCACACCTGGGGAGATGTACAGCTGACACCCCACCCCACCCGCCCCCAGGGCGATCCTGGCCCCTGCTCTCCCATGCCACACACTCCCTGTGGGCTCTCCTGCCCCCTCGCCCCCTGTGGCCATCTTGCCCCTCCCAGCAGGAGGGACCCCGTCGGCTCCCCCTCACCTGTGGCGATCTTGTCAGCGCCCATCAGCAGGGCGCCCCGGTCGAGGGCCTGGCGCCGGAAGACGCCGCAGAAGGTGCAGTTGTTGCGGGGGCCGAGGTGGCGGGCGATGCGGTCCATGCTCCAGCCGTAGAGCTGGCGGTAGGAGACCACGTGCAGGGGCAGGCCGGAGCGGCGCTGGTGGCGGCGCACGGCGGCCAGGGAGGCGTCGCGGTAGCCGGCGATGCCCTCGTCCACGGAGAGCAGCAGCAGGTGCAGGCCGTAGCTGTGGCGCTGGTCAAGGAGCTGCAGCAGGTGGGCCAGCACCGTGGAGTCCTTGCCGCCCGAGGCGCCGATGGCCACGGTCTCGCCGGGCCGGAAGAGCCGCCCGGCCACGATGGCCTGGTGCGTCTCCTCCTCAAAGGCCGCCAGGAAGCAGGCGCGGCACAGGGCGTGGCCCGTCTTGGGGCGCCGCAGGGCAGCCGGGCTGGCGCCGCAGGCAGAGCAGGGGGCCGGCATGGCGGGGGGGCTGGGAGAGATGGAGTGAGGGTTAGAGGGGGAGCACCCAGGACAGCCCCCAACTCACTCAGCCCCCCACCGCCCTCCACCCAGCCCCCCACCCAGCCTCCCCGCCTCACCCAGTTCCCCACC